GGCATATAGCTTGTTCAGTTGCGACTGTTTAACAGCGACCTGCTCGGCCAAAGGATGTCCTTCAGCCGACAGGGCCTTTACAGTTTCACCCAGTCTCTGATGGTGTCCGCATAAGCTCCGACGGCCGCTTCAAGACTTTCGTGCTTCCTCATGAAGTTTCTGGCGCTGGTCTCATCTTTGTCTCGATCTTCCACTATCATGTAGAGCTCCTGCTCGCTCATCCAGCTCTCGGCCTCATTGGCATCGAACAGATACTCCTGCGCCCGCTCGTTCTTCAGCAAGTTGGCTCGTCTATTATCGATGGCTTCTTTTTCTTTAATTTCATTTTCGCTTAACCGTCGATGCTCTCTGGTGGTGTCAATAACAGATTCGTTCTGTAATGACGCCACTGCGAAAAGAGTCTCGAAATTCCATGCAGCGTTTATGGATTCTACATCAGGCTGAGCTTCGGTTGGCGCATTTTCTTCAATGGGAATGTTTTCTTTCTTCGGCAATTCTGGGTAGGAAAATTGCTCAACTTCAGTAGCGATTTTAATTAAATTGGCGTCTTCATCTAATGCTGGCAAATCATGTACGGCTTTATCGCTGGTTGGCCACTTGCACTCAGAATCAGATGATTCTTCACTCAAACAAACTACTTTTTCTAAGCCCGGTTCCACAGTTTTCCTTCTGAGCATTATTTTGGGTTTAGTTTTCGCTGATTCATGCAGATTTTGCGAATTTTTCTACACAGTTACATTCTCATGTTCCACTGGCCTAGTGATGTCTTCGATTTTATCACTCACAGTTTTATCAGCAACCGACAATTCTTCAGTCTTCACAATAGTCGCTTCGTCCGTAATCACCTTGTCTGATAGGAGTTCTGCAGCACGTTTGTCCTGTGATTCCAAAATTGCTATACTTTCCGTCTTTACCACTTCCTTCACTTTCGCCGCTGTTAATGTCTCTTCCACTACTGCAGGAATGTCCACGATTTCAGAGTTTTCCACATCATCAGTCACTTTCTCGATGTTCTTTGGTTTGCCTTTAACGGTTGTCTTCAGGTCTTCAAATTTCTTAGCGTTGTCGTCCATTTTAGCTCTCATTTCGTTCATCACTTTGTGCATCTCTCTGTTGTTGTGTTCCATTTTGTCCATTTTTTCGTCCATTTTCCTACTGTTGTCTTCCATTTTCCTACTGTTGTCTTTCATTTTGTCGCTCATCTGCATGATCAGTGCAATCAAACTGGGGTTCTCCATTGCAGGGTCTTCCTTCTTTGATTTACTTCTTGTTTCTATCAAAATTCAACTTGGGTTCTGGTAAATCCCACTTCTGACACCAAATGTACCGGGGATAGCCGAGTATCTAACTCTTTCTTCTGCTTCCAACTTTTATTCCACTCGGTACAACTTTAACTACGGAACGGGAACAAACTAACTTCTAAATTAACGTCAACTTCACAAACAATAACAATAACA